ATTAGAAGTTACAATTTATAATTAGATATATTTTTGAAAAAGACTAAAGATAACTAAAGAAGTATACTGTATAACAAGAAGAAGTAGTGCCAAAAGAAGTATATTTATAAAGTGTATAATAAATAAACTTTCAATATTAAAAGAACTTAACAGAAGAAGACTAGTTGTATATACAATAACAGAATGCCAAATGTGCCAAGATAAATTAAAAGAAATATAGACATATTTGGTAGCATGTAAAGAACTAAAGAATCTTTAAAAAAGAATCCAAAAAGTGATTATTATAATAGCCTGAAAAGGGCTAAAAGAAAAAAAAAAATTTAGGTTTTTCTATATATATTATATATAATATTTTTTGGAAAAACAGAAACAGAGAAAGTAAGAATAAAAGAGGTGCCAATTAAAGGTTTTATTTCAAAAGAAACACAAAACAGACTAAGACAACTTTTAAGCACAAAGGCAAGACAACAGTTTATAAATATAGTAGCAAGAACAGCCTGAAATATATTTTATGAACAAGTATAAAGAATCAGATATAAAAAAATTAATAAATAGAAGAAAAATAAAGAAATAATAGGTAGAATAAAAGAATAGGAGAAAAAAAGAGAAAAATACTAAGTAAAAAAAAAAAACTAAATCAGCAAAGAATAGAAGAAAAAAAAGAAAAAGTAAGAGAAAAAAAAAACAAATCAAAAAAGAAACATAAAAGACAATTTTAGAACTTGTCATAAAAGGAAGAAGACTTTTTTATTATGGACTTTAAGTAGTCTGACAAACAGTTTATTTTTGATTAAAGTAATGTGACAGATTGCACTTAGGTACCATTAAAGTAGCTGAATAATGCTAAACTTAGATGTTAAGAATATTTATATAATTGCAAATGTAATTTTAAAATTTTAATAAAGTACTAGCATAACTGCTTAAGAGAGAAAAAAAAACTAAATTAATTGCAAAAATAAATTATAAAAAACTTTAGTAATAATATTTCAAAAATGTGTTTGCTATCTTAAAAATATGAATTAATATTTGTAACCTTTTAATTAACATATATATATATATACTAAAAAATAGTACAGCAATATAAAACAAAAATAAACAATATCTATAATTAGATTACAAGTATAATATTTAGTATAAAACCTATAATGTAAACAAACTACTTCAATTAGACACCAAAAATATATATATATATAACTAGTTGTATTCTCTAATATAAAAAAATTTTTTAAAATCAATATATTTTAATACTAAATAAAAAGTTCTTAATCCTAATAATTAGGTTAAGATACCTGTAATTATAATTACACTATATAAGAAGACTTTTATATAATTAGCTGGTGTAAATTAATTGTTTAAGTAACTTATTTATACACTTTAAAGTACTTTTAAGAATGTAACAATTTACTAACTAAAAACTATTGTTAATATTACCAATACATATAGAAGAGAGTTAACATTCACTATATAAAAATAATTAAAAATAATTAGTAATCTGGCAAACTTCACTTAAAAGTAAATACTTTACTATATATTACTATACTAACTATATTTAAATTCTAAAAATAGTTAATTGAAAAAAACTGAAAAAATGATTAAGTTATAAGTTTTATATAATAAAAAACTTTTTATTGCCATTTAAGTATCATTTAAGTTATTATATTAAAACTAAATTTCAATACTTTTATATCTTGCAATAAGATTTTATAGGAATTAGTTTATTAGATCTGACTTTTTGTACAGATTTAAGTATTTGGTATATCTAATACTTAGACTTGAGTTTATTGTTAAATTAGTATTCAGATTAAATTAATGTGTTTTTTTTTTTTTTTAAATATTAACAGTGAGGCATTAATGTATTTTTTAAATATTAATGATAAGACATTAATGTGTTTTTTAAATTAGTACTCAGATTAAATTAGTATAATTTTTAAATTTGTTTAGTTCTTGTAGTATATTTGTGTTTGTTAATCATAAATTAGAAGTTTTGGTTTACATTTTGTAGATTCTTTAATGAATTCAAATTTATTAGTAATAAATATCATATTTATCCACTTTACACATATCTATATATTCTCTAAATGCTTGAAATAAATGTTTTTTTATGAAAATTTATTAGTTTATAAGCTTTTTTATACAAAATTTTATTTATTTTCTAATAGTATTAAAATGTTAATTGTTTAAAAATTTTATAATTTGATTGGTTAACTATCACAAATAATTATGAATAAATCTACAAAATTAACTAATCATATAAATATTTTCCTATGTGATTATATCAGCATGACTGGCAGGTTATAGAATATCCATATAATTTATTATATAGAAGAATGCAAACTGACAAATTGGATAATGCAAACTCAAGATAAGTTCTTATAACTATGTAAATTTATAAAAATTGGAAAATAAAAAGTCTATTTAAAAAAATCTAAATAATAAGATAATATAGATTTTTAATAATATCATTGTAAAAACTAGATCTAAAAAATAGATACCAATACTAAAATAGTCAAACAAGCAAAAATCTTCAAATTGAGAATCTTGAAAATACTACCAACCAAACTGCTCAATCAAATCAGAGAAAAAAGATATCAAACTGATCTGATATATCAATAAACTGATCATATTCCTATATGAACTATCTGAATTAAAAATTTAGTAAAAAAAACAAGAATATACTAAAGTACTAGAAATATGCTATAAAATAAATACTAAAATCTAAATAAACTCTACAAAAACATAGCAGTTTAATAATTAACTCTAATTGCAAATATTAGTTCTATTATAATGATATTCAGATCAATTACAAAAAATAAATAAACAGTAGACTCCAGTAGGTTTATTTTAAGAATAAAAATATCCTAAAGTTGAGACAAAGGATTCAAGCTTAACTTGATAAAGTAATATGTATAAGACAGGTTCAGAAGGTTTAAATAGAACATCCAAGCAGAAATATTAGATAGAACAATTAATAAAGAACATTAGGTGGACTTCTTAAATAGGTAATATAAAAAGTTACACAAGTGGCCAATTGTATGCTCTTTCTGTAATAGCTCCTTATAAAACTACATTTCTAAAAATATGTTAATAAAGTCAAAAGACCAAAGAGGTCATCTTAAAAAAAAAAAAAAAAAGTTCTTGATCTCAAAAAGGCTAAGCTTAAAAAAAACCAAAATAAAAAAAAATTTTCAATGAATTTAATTAAATAATTATTAAGATATTTTTGCTTAAAGTTTTGAAACTTTGTGAAAATAGTCATTAAGAATAAAAAATTAAAAATATGATACTTTTGCCTACTGATCACATTATCTCATATTACACTAAATCATGCATTCTTATTGGCCAATCCTGGTAAATCAACTATATTAATAAATAATTTTGCAGACTTATTTACAGGTTAATTGTCTTACCAATTTTTTATATAAGGTAATGTCATAAGTCTGCATCTTAGTATCCTAGCTATGGCGAAAAAAATTATCAGATCATGTGCCATAGATCATTTTTTACGAATTCTATTGGCCACTATTTCTGATGATCCTAATATAACCTGGGCAGCCAATCACATTTGCAATTTTGAATAAAAAATTAACAAGTAAAAATAAAAATTTTTAAAAATTTGAGCAAAGATATCTCAACAACCAATCAACCAAATTCAATGAAATTTTTTTTATTTAAATTCTTTGAATCCATATAATGCTAATAAAAAAAAATTCATTGAGTTGTGTTAGTTGGTTATCAAGATATCTTTACCCAATGTTGTAAAAAATTAAAACATTTTAAAATAAAAGCTGCACTGAATTTTTTTTTTAACCTTTAAGTGAACAACCAATGATCAAATTAATTGGTGTTTTTTTTTATTTAAAGTTTACTAATCTGTAGGATCCAAATAAAATAATTTTCATTGAATTTAGTTGGTCATTACCAAGATATTTTTATCCAAAGTTGTAAAAAAATTAAATATGTCTTAAAATACAAGCTGTGCATTTTTTTTTTAAAAAAACCTGATCTTATTTGGCAAAATTAATTAAAGATATTTCAGATATTTATATGAAATTAATGCAGATTATGTTTATGCAGATTTTTACAATAGTAATATTTTACAAGACGAAGGCATTAGTAAACTATTTTTATAAAGCACAAATGCTTTTTTTATTTGCTTTAAAGTGCAGAAAGATAAAAAAAATTTTTTATTTGTTTTATTTTCTTTTTATTTATATATAAAAGCTATTGAAATTGGAATTTACGTTCTATTACAAAATCATAAAGTACTTGCAAATAGCTAATTTTTCTGTTAATATATTGTGAGCTTTTCTATTAAGGTATTTAACATCTTCAAGTTCAATACTATTTTCACATATGTAAAATATTATTCATACTTAATAAAGGATTCAGTTTGAAAAATTTTTATTCGAAGTAATGAATTTCGGGTACAACTATATATAGTGGCAATTATGCAATATTCGTACTGCAAATAACTTAGTCATATACACAAGATTTTATGCATATATACATATAACAAATTAAGCTTCACTCTTTTTGATCCATATTTGGTTATTATAAATTGAAGCTTTTCTTTTTCTGTCTATATTTAGTTAGTTTTTATTAAATAGGTACATATGTATAACTATGTGTAGTAGTCAATTGTGCATATGTATATATATACGTATAATAGTTGCATTATGAATAACTTAGCCACATACTCGAGATTTATGCATACAGCAAACTAAGGCTTTGCTCTTTTCATTCTATATTTGGTTATTATGAATTAATGTTAAGACTTTCTCTTTCAGTCTATATTTAGTTAGTCTGAAAAATTAAAACTTTTTCGGTTTATACTTAGTATTATTATTCGACTGAATTCTATCACTTATAATATTTCAAAATCGAATTCGGAAACAAATAATCAAGCCAATAATGATAATTGAACGATTTTTATGGATATTTAAAATAGCAATAGCTTCATGAATAATACATTTAAAAATATAAAACAAATATTATTGAAAATGTATATAAAGTATGTTTTTTCGACCTTCAATAAAAATTTAAAGTTCAAAATATTATAAAATTATTTAAATATTTAAATAATTTTTTCTTGAATTTATTTAAATTATTTTTGCATTATTTTAATAAAATACAATAAGTAAACAAAGTCAAGAACCTACTAAAAGGATGTGTGATCATTGCTATGTCAGAAAATCTTCTGAGAATTTTATCTGTCTCTTTAGTCAAAATCTGCAGAAAACATGCAATTAATGTGCTAAAAAGTTAAAAAAAAAACAACAAGAAAACTCAGTAGTGTCAAAAAAAGTAAAACAAAAAACAGTCCAGAATAGTGACATTACCTTTAATAAACTCGGCATAATTATCTCAACCAATTTTGATATCAACATTTCAAATAACTTCAACATCGCCTCTAATAATCTTTATAGCACTGTATCTAATAATTCTAATGCTATTGCTTTTAATTCTTTTAATAATTCTGGTACTATCACTTCTAACATTTTTGATAATTCTGATACTATCGTTTTTGACATTTTTGATAATTCTGATACTATCACTTCTGATGTTTTGGATAACTCTGACACTATCATTCTTGATAGTTTTAACAACTCTAATATTATTGCTCCTAATATCAGTGCAGATAACTTTGATAATATTGTTTCCAATGATCTTAATACAAGTATTTCTGATTCCGATAGTATTTCCTATAATGAAAACGAGTATGATGTTAATAATGGCTCTGAGGTAATAATGTATGACCTTGATGAAGTTCATGAAATTATTGCCAATAAATTTGAAGAATCAGAAATTTTTAATGAGCCTATAAAATTTATCCTTAAAGTCAAGTTAGATCAAGACCTTCTTGCTGAATTATTGTTAGATCAAGAAAATTTAATAAACATAACTAATTTAAAGACAATTGAAATAAGATTTGGGCAACTTGCATCTATACTTATTATATTACTCGAATCCGGATCTGGCTATTACTGAGAAATTTGTAAAGTATATTTAAATAGTAAAAATAAAAGATTCTCTGGTTTTGCTACAGCATATCTTGGTTGTACAATGCAAAATGATCAGGCCTGGAAAAGACCAGATGACTAGCCACCCAAAAGACGAAGTAAAGCCTGAGCCCCTATTGAAAGATATAAGTGTGCAGAAAGCATTAAGATCACTATGAATATAGTGAAAAACTATGCTATTATTCAGAGAAGTTATCGGGTGGCACATGAAAGACTAAATTATCGTCAGGTTGAGTTTTCTATAGAGGCAAAAGAATGAATTAAAAATAATGCCTTAAGATACAATTATAAAAGTACAAATGTTTATAACCAGCTCCTTAATGATAAACTTATCAACTCAAAACTTCATACAGCTGAACAGATATATTATTGGGTATCTGAGTATGCTAAAAAAACCTATATTATGAATCAAGATAATTCACTTGTATCAGCAATGTAGTATCTTAAGAAACCTGAACTCAAGAAAAAAGAGTTCAAAGTTCTTAATTATCTGGAAAATAACTTTGTGCAGGCCTTAGGATTTCTAACCCTATTACTCAAACTGCAGGTCTACAGACACGTACCAGTCATATGATTTTTCTTGTACCAAATATCACATGATACTAATATCCATATGTTTGTCATACCAAATGGATAAAAATCACAGCCAATGCAATAATTACATATTAGAACAAATGCATTTGGTGATTAACAAAATAGAAGCTTTTCATTTTGCATGTGAAATTTATTTCTTTTATTGCATAATGCATACTAATAATAGTACATGCAATTTAAATTAGATACGATCTTATAAATACCCAAATCTAATTTTTTGGAAAAGTGTACAGTTATGATGTTTTGGTCAACATGTATTATTGATATCCATATATAAATTGTAATGCTAACTGCATCAAAAAAGTAATCCTAACTTTAATATCATTAATTTATTCTTGCAATTTAGCTATCTAAATACATTAATCAATGTGTTATAACCAATACTTTGAACTCTTATTCGAATAACTAATAATAAAAGAGAAGGTAGATTTTAAACATTCATCATGTTCATATAATAAATTCATATTAAAAAGTGGTATCTGTTCATGTAACAATACAATCATATATGTAAAAAACTGTTGTAATTAGTTTAATTAGATGTCTTTACATATCTTGTTACAATTAGTCGATCAAACACCTTAGTGTACAGTACATACTAATCTTTTCTAACATTCTGTCAAATTAATGATACTATTGCCTATATTTTCTTTTTGCAAATATTCATATTCTTTTCTATGTTGTTCTATAAAATAAGTAAATCTATCTGAGAACAAAAACTTCCATCTCTTACTTTGTTTGGTACATATGTCTTCCCAACTTTTTACTACAGAAGAAACAGGCATATTGGGTTTGAGTTTTATGGTGATAAAATGCTGTCTTTCAAAAATATAGACAAAAGTAATTGATGTATTTCGGTTCAATAGTATGTTGTTGGGAAGAAAAGAAGAGAAATAAGCTTGCTAAAGTAATAAACAGGTTGTTGAAAGGTATTGGCAATAACATATCTAAAAGATGGCATAAACATCCAATGATCACTATTACAAGGGCCAGATTTCTACTGTGTTGCTTATAATATTTTATCATACTCTTTTTCTTTTTCTAGAAAAAGTTGAATGTAATGAGACTTTCAGCTACAAAGTTCATTATAAATATGTTCTCGAACATCTGGCCAAAAGTCTTCAGGTTTTTTAATTGATATAGCAATAGCACGAAAACCGCAATTACCATTATTAGCTACATTAAAGTATGCAAAAATATGTTGGTGCATAAATTTGGAAATGTTGATCTCGTATAGCTTAGAACATAAACAAGAGATAAAAGATTGTTTTAATGGTATCTGTTGTTGCTAAATAGGCTTGTTTTTAAGTTTGGTGATATTGTCTAGCACTTTTTTTTTCTTTTTTGTGACAGTGTCTTGATGTTCAGTTAGAAGCAATCCTCATTTAGTACTTGAAAGATGACCTTTTTTTGGTACTACTTTCTGTGGCAATTTAACAGGTACAGGTAATTGCATATTTGTTATTTGTCAAAGTTTAGTAATAAATTCCATCTTAGCAGCAATGTCTGATAATTGTTCAAATTTCTCTTCTGCTTTAACAAAAGTACTATAAAACTCTGGATCAATAATAGAAGACTTTGAAGGATGCAAAAGCTCTGTAATTTTAGATCTTTCAAGAAACCATCTTTTATCGATCATTAACAAAGGAATTGGACTATCTTTTGGAATTATATGTGGACAAGAAAGCTTAAACTTAAATTTACTAGAGCATTCACAAGTTCTATTATTTTCATATATATTTGGTTTTGCCATTTTTTGTAATGTTCTTTTGATATTATTAATCACCTATACTGATATATTTCCAATAAGTTCACTAAGCTTAGGATCACGACAGATAAAAGGGTCAACTGCCACCTTATTAGAGCCTGTACGCATAGATGCTTTTAGGTGTTGTAAGCACATTGTTTGATCAATTTTACGAAAGACACTATTCAAGTTACTAGCTGTCTCAATAGCTCTTTTAAATGCGCTATGAGATGATTCACAACATCCAGTAGTCGATATTCCCATATTACAGTACCATTTAGTGTAAGCTGAAATCCACATTTTTGAATCCTTCATTAATGTCTGAATATATGACTCTACTTTTTCTGGTGTATAAGCTTTCTCTGCAGCTTTTTTGACTGAATTTAAAGATTGTGAAATTTGCTCTTCAACTGTTGTAAAATGTAGGCCCACAACTTCTTTTTTAAATGCTTCATAATCGTCATTGGTTTTAAAAAGTTTACAGCAATTTGCTTTTAAATTTTGTTCTAGAATATGCCATACACATAGCATCTTATTAGATTCTGAAAATACTTTAGATGAGGCATTCCTTAAGGCCTGATCTTTGTCTGACATAAAAATGTTTGGTAGACAACTATAGGTATTATAAATCTCTGTACAAAGGGTTTGTAGAAACCAAGTATATGATGCTTCACTTTCATTTTCCATCCAAGCCATGGCAATTTGAAAAGATGCCAATGCCTCTTTTTTATTACTGACATTATTAATACCAATAGCACTAACTAAAGGAAATTTATAAATATTTGTCTTATATGTAGCATCTACAATAAGAACTTCAGGGCATCTAGCTACTTATTTAGGTGCTTCAACATGGAAAAAAAAAAGGTGTGTCAAGTGTCCTTTTATTGTTTTTAAAAGTACAATCATGTAATCATGCTCCTCAAAAAGGTTTAAAAGCTTTTGAGCAGAATCATTATTAGAACCTTCATTTAATGCATATCTAATACAAGCATGTTCATTTATAATATCTTTAGTACAAATAATTCCACCATCAATTACTTCATTAACAGCTGCTGTAATAACACAAGTAGATGCATTATTATTATATAATCATCATATAAGGTTTTTTTGATTTAAGTTCATAACACGATATTGAGGAAATGTTGCGACTTCATTTAATTCAACTATAGAATGGTTATGATCAAGTATAACTTTTGTAACTACCTACATAATCTTAATCTTTAGGGCATTTTCTGTTGAATGACACTTTGTAGCAATGGCTCTAATTATTACTGGACAACAATCACGTTTAGTATTTTTTTTCTTTTTCGCATTTCTTCATTTATATTCCAATTATTATATCATTCTCCTCCTTTAGTACATTGTAAACCGACAAATAGTGATTTTTCTTGGCATCTGGTAAGATTACTATCCTTTCTTGCAAAAGCAAATCTATTAACTTTAGCTGCTAATTTTGCAGCATCTTCAAAAGCTTCTAATGTCTCAAACTTGGCATCAACTTTAGGCATTATAAACTCTGTTATTACTCTATAAAGGTTTTAAGTAAATAGAAAATAAGTTCTACGTGCTGTTTTACTGATAAGTAAATATATAAGAGTTCAATACATGATTTTAAGTGAATATTTTATATGATAAATATTTATTAACAAGTAGAAATCTATTGTTTAATATAACAATGTTAAAGAAGGATCTTGAGTAGCATGTAAAAGGTTTTCTTGTTATCGTTGAAATTAAAATTTATTTTTTCTTATATACATAACTATTATATAATGTGCAGTAAGTTGCATACATTATGTAGTCAGAGATTGTTGAATTTTTCAAATGTATCTATTTGCACTAATAACTATTAGTCGAGTACCAATAAGCTGGTTAATAATATATATTTTTATTGACCATCTTGATAGTACTTCAATTTATAAATCATTGTACAAATTGATATATATATACCAAAAATTTTTAAATATATAGTAACATTATTAACTTACTTAAGTTACCAAACTATTAATTGGATAAATTAAACTGCAATACACTTTTAACAGATTTAATTGTGACAATTCTTTTTAATTTAGTTTTGGAGGATTTAATTGTTCATTACAATTAAACTATTTGTATTATTTAATTGCTGAAAATAAACAAGCTTTAAACTGGAATAAATGTATACTATCGTTTTAAGTTTAATAAATTCAATATATTCATCCAAATATGTACATTATTGGTATTACGTGATATTTGGTATAGGAAAAATCATATGACCGGTACATGTCCGTAAACCTGGTGTACTTGAACATGTTGGTGATGAAAATGCAACTGAAATTGTTATAGATTTCATGTTTAAGACAAATCAAGAGCGATTCGAACTCTTTGCTATAAATTTAAACTGTGATAGATATGGAATGCTGATAGCATATCTGTATTTTTATGCACTAGATGGTAGTGAAGAAGTTCAAAACAGCCAGAATAATCTTATAAAAACACAGATTAAAGTGCTGTGAATATTTTTTATTAGTCTTTGGCAAGAGGAGTTGAGACCAGTATTCATTTTAATGGATAAAGATGCTGGTGAAATAGCTGCAATCGAAGAAGCTTGGTTATTAATTTCTTACATCCAACTTTGCTATTGTCATTTTGAGCATGTTATTGATAGAAGGATCAAAGATAAAAAATACAAATCTAATACATATTCAGTAACTAAAACATTAGATGCTTACCAAAAATTCAACTTTATCGATCTATCGTAGATTCAAGATAGGGTTGGATCTATCTGTCTAGATAAATTTGTTAAAAAATTCTAAAAATGGTTAAAAAACATGCCAATATGCACCTACTCATCCTATTAGCTAAAGGAACTTATATGAATTCAAAAGAAATTTATCAGTTATGCATTCAAGAAGTATATAAGTTTTGTCATTCGAATAACCTAGTTAAATTATGAAGTTATTTGTGGATGAACTGATATAATGAAAAAGACTAGAAATTATTTGCATGATCATTATACTCACTTACTATGCCCTTCACATATACAACAATGATTATGGAGAGCTATTGGAGAATTCTTAAATATAAATATAAATATAATTATAATCACCCATGCATAGATCGACTTATTCAAATTATAGCTGAGCAATTAATTCCAGACTTTGAAATTAAATTGGCTTTGTATGATGGAAAACAAACTTTTCCATTATGGTGGAATGATTTTAAAAAAGAATAAGATAAGGTAGCAGAAGCTGATATTTCACCAGATGCAGAAAACAGATACAAAATTGATACAAGCAAGTGGGTATGTTCCTGCTCAGCATACTTACATAACTGCTACCATCTTTGCAAGCATCTTGTTGATAAAAAGAATGGAAAACAATTTCTACTCACATTTTTGAAGACCAAAAGACGACATGACTATTCATTACTCTTCTTTGACAAAGACAAGGTTTTATCTATTACTCCAACAAATAACTCTTAGATTCGACTTGACATAGCAGAAACATCAGCAGAAACACCAGTAGAAGTGTCAAATAATTCTGTTGTGCAAGGTAGTACATTAAGCAATTTATAAAATTTAGTAAAGGATACAAGTTTTGATGTTATAAAAAAAAGAAGAGAAAAATATGAATATTATAAAAGCAAATTTGATGTCACATTAGTTCTGTATAATCAGAAGATAAATAATTCCAATTTCATAAATAGTTTTAATACTTTAGTAATGTCTTTTTTGAATGAAATAAATAAATGTAAAGAAGCATTATGAGCCTGCCATCAGCAAAGTACTTGGACGTCAAACGGAAAACTTGTATTTTGGCTGCATTAATTATTGGTAGACACTATTCATATACAAAAAAAGAAATAAATGTATTAATATTACTATAAATTAATAAAAAAAGAAAAAATTTGAGATTATCTTATATACGTACCTTTTTTTTAAGTGTTATACCTGCCCCAATTTTGTTATGTATTCGTGCCTCCATCCCTGTAAATTAAAAATTTTAAAGTTTGAATAAAGATATTTCGATAACTATCAAGCCAATTTCAATGAATTTTCTTTTATTTGGATTCTACGAATCTGTAGAATTCAAATAAAAAAAAGTTCATCGAATTTGGCTTGGTTGTTGTCGAGATATTTTCTCTCAAAGTTTGAGAAACATTTGGCGCAGCTTCGATTTGTATAGACGTTCTGAACTTTTTTGAAACTTTGAGAAAAGATATCTTGATAACCGCTAAGCCAAAATCTATGAAATTTTCGTTATTTGAATTATACTAATCAGTAGAATTCAAATAAAATAAAATCAATCGATTTTAGCTTAGTGGTTATCGAGATATCTTCGCTCAAAGTTTGAGAAAATTTTGATGCAATCCTTATTTTGAAACGTTTTGAATTTGTTTAAAATTTGAGTGAAGATATCTCGACAACAACCAAGCCAAAATCGATGGATTTTTTTTTATTTAAATTCTACGAATCTGTAGAATTCAAATAAAAAAAAGTTCATTGAATTTGGCTTGATGGTTATTAGAATATCTTTATTTTAAAATTTTAAAATTTTAAAAATTTTATTTACAGGCATCGAAGAGGCGTCCAATAGAAATTCGTAAAAAATTGATCTACGGCACGTGATCTGATAATTTTTTTCGCCATGGCTAGGGTACTATCTGCATCTATACCTGCCCTACCCCTACCATAAAATCCCGACATCTAAAATCTCGAAAACCATAATCCCGACATCACGCGGCGTAACAATTAATATTTGAAGATTATTAACAATTATTGTCAGACTTTAAATTTTAATTGTCGCGTCGCGTGATGTCGGGATTATAGATTTCGAGATTTTGTGTTTTCCAAGGTTCCGAACCTAAGAACTTAATAAGAAAGGTATATTTAAAATACGAATTGTATCCAGTCTTTTAAATGGAGCATTATAACAGAAGATGAGGTGGTCAATGGCGAATGATAGATAGGATTGTTAATGGAGTCGATCCTATCTTTAACCCACTAGATTTGTCCATTTACAACCGTAATGTTAGACACATCACTAATAGCCACAAGTATCATATGTATATATTACTAGACTGTGGGAACTGCATGTATTTTGGTTGCCTTTTTATTAACTGAGAGCATGCTCTCATTATGTAGTACAACTATATAAGTTACATGATTTTATTTAAAAATATGGAACGTTTATTAATTTACTAGTCTTCTTCTTCTTCGTCACCTAAAGATAGTTAGTTGGTAACACCATCCTATAGTATTTCAATGAAATAATTGATTATAAATATAAATACCCTTAGTAGCGCTTCGTTGACGTTTTCTCCTTACACGACCAGGACGACCACCACCTGTTGAAAAATAATAAAAATGAATTCTGTCATGTATTGTTGCAACAAAATAATAAAATAAAAGTTACCATAAGGTGAGGTAAGGGCAAAGTCAATATGCTTCTGAGAGTCAAGACTATATATATATCATAAAGAAATAAATATAAATGATCTGTGACATATATAGGAATAAGAGCTAGGATATGCAATTACCGAACAATAAAGCTTGGAATATCAACTATTTGTTTTCCAACACTAAATAAATAAAAAAAAACAAATAAACATTATTATGTTTGTAAGAAAAAGAAAATTAAACGAGTAAGGAAAATAATTACCGAATATGACGTTGCCTAATGAGAACACGAGCATGATGAATTGATTTGGCCAAGCCCAGTTTGAAAACCTGAGTTTGTAATCTTCGTTCCAAGAAGTCTTCAATTTTCAAAGCCAAGACATAGTCGAGTTTCATTTTAGTCTCATCTAATACACCAATTCTAACAAGCCTTCGGATCAAAGCATTTCCTTCGAAAAGCCGACGAGGATCTTTATCATCTAATGTGAGTAATTCACGTGCAGCACGCCGAATGTTTGAGAGTGTATAAGCTACGCGCCAGATTTCACGTTTGTTTCGAAGACCAAATTCACCGATTAAACGAAGTTCCTGATCAATTCGTTCCTTTTCAAATGGACGGCGAGGAACCTTATAGGTTTTTGAACCTAATTAAAAAAAAAAAGGACATCGGGTAAAGCAATCCCGGGATTTTTAATCTCAATGAGATCATAAAGTATCCACTATATAAGCTTTCCCTTTAATGCATGTAGCAATTAAGATCCACACTTAGTAGAGTGGTGGATCAGACTCATATTCGTTCGTATCCAGAGAGTTTGCTATCTCTCTCTTTATGAAACTTTCAAAAAAAGACAAAAAAAGAACCCCCCGAAAATTCAAGCTAATAGGATACTATCTGTCCTGTCATGAACGCTACCGAATTACATCCTTGTAACTGTAGGAAGGCTCAGAATTACATGGAATTTTTCGTTAAGCACAAATCAGTTCATTTAAGCATTATACCAGTGGAAACCCCACTTGACATAAAAAATAAAAATAAAAATAGAAGTGAAAGTTTCATTAAATACAATTCCTTGCAGCACCTGGCATTATTCTTAAGAAACCGAGAAATTAAAGGTATCTCGATTCTACTAC